GAGGACCGAGCTCAGGATGATGCAGGCCAAGGGAGGCTGCGGGTAAACCAAGCTCCTCTCTGGGTTTAGTTTTCAGACCAGGTGTAACTGTCTCCTCAAAGGAGCCCTGACACAGTCACCAAAGCTCACACAGACAAAACCCAGCCATTTACACAATAAACTGAAATCTGAAAAAGGAAGAGAATGTGGTGTTTCAGCTGTGGTGTTACAAAGTCAGCAAGCAAACGCGTTTTCCTTCCACAGGCTGTGTGTAAAGGTTCAGAGAATAGCAGGGGCATCGCAGAGAGCAGCTGCACCCTGGCCCCTGTGGAAACAGCTGGGGACTGTGAGTCCCAGGCTGGGCCCTTCACACTGTGTTACCTGCTGGATGTAAACTCTACGGAAATGTATAAAACTTGTTTTTCCCTCCATAATCTCAACTCTCGAGAACACTAAACCTCTGTCAAGAAACCCAGAAGAGAGTTCTTTAGATTAGCTACAGCCAGGATTAAGATTGTGGAACCAAGTTTGACTGGGAGATGGAGGTGAATTTTGCTACATAATTGGAGAGGAATTTCATAAAAATAAAATTCCATGAAGTAAACACACACACAGAGGCTTGTGCGAGTGCAAACACACACACACACACACAAGTCAACATTCAATGTGAAAAGTTCCCTTTTCTTTCTCAAAGGTTGATTTTCGTGAGCCCTGACAAGCAGACAGTCCTGTGCGTGGTAGGCCAGGATGGCCAGGCCCTCAGGATGAACAGCCGCTGGCTGACCTGTCCTCATCCACCGAGGCCAGCCCTGGTGGAGGCAGAGGGGGTAGGAGGGTCCTAACACTTCTTCAACAGTCCTGGAGCCTCTGCCAAGCTTCCCGTATGTCCTGAGAGTGCCCCTCAGATCATAAGAACCTGCCCAAAGCCAAGGTATCTACCGAATGGTACAAACCACTGAAAACACACTACTGAGCTTCAAACCCGCAAACATGCTACTGAGCTTCAGTCTTCACCCTCCAACCTCATTGTCCGTCTTCCCTTTATGTGTCCAGATGTGGTAAAAATCCTCTTTAACGCTATGAGGCAAGGGGGACTGGGCCTAAACCCACATGCCTCTGCCGCACGACATCCCAGCCAGCTTCCAAGCTGCACACACCACCTGCCCCAATCAGCACTCTCCCAAACCTCTTCCCCACGAGGCCATGAATACTCTGCAAACCAAGCTCCACAAAATAGTGGCAGGTTTCGTCTGTGACTGACAGCTTGCTGGGAAGCAGGGTGTCTAGGGAAAGGCTACTTTTCCCACCAGAAAGAAGAGAGGCCCAACTTACACCTGGGCCTCAGGCGGATGGGACAAAGACCATCAAGGAGCCAGGTGACAACAGGAAGGGAGAGGGACTTCTAAAAGTGGGGAAGGGTGATGAGAGGGGACATTCCAAGCCTGCCCGTGTTCAAGCCAGCAAGAGAAAAGAACTGAGCGATTCAAGGTAAGGCAGCATAGGGCAGGGCCCACAGCACCCCCTACACACTGAGTGGGTCCCTTGGCCACCAGCAGTCCCAGCCACTCTGATGAGCTCTTCTGAGACTTCGACAGTAGCAATCCTGCCCCTTAGGATTCATCTAGGTGAACAGACAGCCAGGGCCTCTCTAGTCCCCACACTGCACCTTCCCACCTCCCCAGGAGATCCTTACCTGAGCCCTGGTTGCTAGAGTGGAGCCAGCCAGGAAGGCACCTGGAGATGGGACGATGATGGGACGGGGTGCCACAGCTCTCCTTCACCTGAGGAGGGCCTAGGAAGCTTGGCATCACCCTGGAGCCCTGGGTGCTATGTCCTTCAAGAATCAACTTCATGTCTCTCTTAGCCAAAGCAGAGAAACCTTCAGGACTGACCTCTGGAAAGGGGGGTGTAGCCAGTTCCCAAGGGCAGGAAATGGAAGTTGGGCCACAAGAGCACCGTCTAGTTGCCCTCTGACCCCTCATCCTGCCAGCAGTGGGCATTCTGCTGCCCTCCAGTCCCTTCTCCTTGCCAAGACCTAGCACTGCTGTCCACAGGAACTTTTGAGGCTGGGACTGCTTTCCTTGGCTGGGGCCCTTCTGAGGGGGTGGCAACTGACGTGCCACCGGTCATCAACTCCCAGAAAGCCCCTGGGCGGCACCTGCCCTGGCCTTGTGGTTCCCACTCGTGGAAGAACAAGCAGCAGTGTGCAGGAGTGACGGTGCTGTAAGATGTCACGAACACACATTCAGAGATCACATGCCAGCCACCTTTGTGTTTCTTCCTTTCAGATTGATTTTCTTATTCTCCACAGTGTCAGCAGTTTAAAGTTTCTTTCATGGGAATGAAAACAGGAGTGGGAGTGAAAATGAGTACAAACCAGCCCCAGCTGTGGGTCAGCTCCCACTGGAGGCCACTGCAGAGTGGCCTCGACTGTCCCTGCCCCTGGCTGGGAGCCCAGGGCAGAGGGCAAGGCTAGGCCCCTCTGCCTGGCCAAATTCATCAGGCAAGACTCCAGAGGAAGAAAACTTCCAGGACAAGAAACAACCATGTCTGTAGCAGAGATACAGCATAGTGGCCTTAGAGCCACTCAATCATGAGCACCAAGAGAAGTGAATTTAAGTAAATGTCTCAAAAACAAAAACATGCATGGAGCTGTCTGCCAGGACGCACGTGCATGTTTGCACGCATGCACACACGCGCGCACACATACAAGCACGTACGCATGCACACGCACACATACCCTTCAAGTCTCACACGACCTAACAGCCTTAAATATTTGACAAAACAGAATCATGAATGTTAATTCAGCAAAAGGGAGAGGTAGGCCAAAAAAGCAAAAGGCCAATTTTATATCCCATAGAGTTAAAAAACAGTGACTCCCCTGCAAGGGTGGGGAGGAAACTACTGACTCAGGAGAGTGCTGGGCTCCCAACCACGCACTCCTCTGCGTGGTTGACAAAGGCACAGGAATTGGGAAAGGGCTGAGCTCATGGCCTCCACAAGGTCCTCTCAGCCTGCAACGTTTGGTTTCTTTCTTTTCCATTCTGACCTTAGTAAAATTCTTACCATGGTGGCTTTCACCTTTGGAAGAGTGACTTCACGTTTATCCTGGGGTTAAAGGATGAATTCTGACACCATTTCCCAGTGGAAACCCCAAGAACTGGCCTAGCCTTGCCTGTGCTCACCCCTCAGGAAGGTGACCTGGAAAGCCTGTAAACACTTTTTTTTGGGGGGGGGTGGCAGCGTGGGGGTTACCACCAAGCTGCTCTTGTGTGGGGCTGAAGCACAGACAAGGGATCAGGCGGCTGGTCAGTGACCTGCAGCAGAGATGGTGGCGCGGCCAGTGGCAGGGAGAGGACCCTCGTCTTCCATCCCCTGAGGCAGAGCTGGCTGCCACTCTAAGAACCAGTTCTGCAGGCCTCCAAGAACCAGCGGGAGCCTCCAAATGGGGCCCGATTTCAGAGGCAGCCCATGGTTCCCCCTTTCCTGTGGCTCCCGGGCTCTCTCAAAGCCCTCCCCAGGATGCTGTGTGACAGGGGTACAGAGGTTGAATGGAAAGCCTGCTGTGGCCTGAACCTCACAGCAGCATGTCCGTGAGGAGGTGCCCTTGGCAGGGCTTCCTGAGTGTGATGGAGAGCCCCCTGCTGCCTGCAGCTACTTGCAGAGGTAGCCAGAGAGAAGGGCAAGCACTGAGCTGGGCCGCCCTCCTGCTGCCCCTTCTGCAGTCCCTTCCAGCTGAAACACGTGCACTGGTGATGGCCCTCTGCCCGCCAGCTCCACCTCTGCCACACCAGGGCCGAGGACAGGTCTTACTGTCTGATCTGAGCGATGGTGCTGAGGGTGGGTCTGTTCTGTCCACATTGTCTCTTCCTCCAAACACAAGAGGGAACAGACTTTGAGCATGGTGACATCTTTGGTCTGAGAACTGTCCTGGGCTGGGCTCCCTGCTGAGCATCAGACGAAATGAGGCTGTTGGCAGAGATGCAGTCTGACCTTTTGACTGCTGGGACTGGAGGGCCACATGCTCCCCCTGGCCACACCTGCCTCAAGGGCAAAAAGGCCATGGCTGGGAGGTGACGCTGAGTCCCTACCATGGGAGTCTTGATCAGTCTCACTGTGGATGCTGTGATGCCAGGTGGAACTAAAACATGACAGAGGAGCCACTGTCCAGGAGGGCTTCCAAGCTGAAGAGTGTGCGTGGTCTGTGCTCCCGTTCTCGTCCCATGTGTGTCCACACCCACTGTTTTTTGTACACGTGTGTTCTGGGGGTCTCTGAGGAAGGCACTTCCCCCAGCAGCCCACCGTGTGTGAACCTGAACAGAAGTCCAGATCCATCTACAAGGGCCAGGCACTGTCAGAGTTGGAGGAGAAAGAAGATGCCTTCACCTGCCCCAGGGGCAGAACAGTGAGCAGCGTGGGGTCAGCCAGAGGAGCACAAGTGGACAGGGATGTGACAGCAGAGACAAGTCTGTGCATCTCAGGACAGGAACTTCATAGGGACCTTGAGGCTTCCTAACAGCAGGAGCAGCTTTATCTCCTTTGTCCAATCCACTCCACACACTGGCGCCTGGGAACACAGGCCACCAGCAGGACAGGACTCCAATGGCCAGCCTTTCCTTTTGTCTGGGCTGCCCTGAGGGCATGGGAGGTGGTGACTGAGGTTGCTGAGTCAGAGAGTTCACAGCAAGGGGTTCCCAAAGATGGGCTATTGCTGTCGGCAGGCCCCAAACCTGCTTCAGACCTGAGTGTGGCATCCTGACCAGCCAAGGGCCAGCAGAGTGGAGGGAGGCCCCATCAGGAAGGGCTGGGATGCAGCCTCCTCTCCACGGGCAGGAGCTCCATGGCACCTCATGCAGCCATATTCCAGCTAAGCAGCTAAGACTCTCCCAGTCTCTTGCCAATTCTGGTGACAGCCGCTGATGCCTGCTCTGGCAGCTGGGATGGGTCTGTCAGAATGGAGGTGGTAGTGCTCAGCTGCCGGAGGGTGTTCAGCACCACTGGAAGACAGAGGGGGTAGTCAGCCTGGGGACACAGACCACGGCCCAGTGTACGAGGCTTCACACACACACCCCCCATGGTGATTCTCAGGCACCAAAGAGTGACAGCCACAGAGCTCAGGGAGGCCCTGTGCTGAGCCCGAATGCTCACACCTCTGCTTTCAAGGTAACGCTTGAAGTCCTAGCAGGAGTCACAAACAGGGGGAGGATTCTAGGCTATCCCTGCTGCCACAGGGTTTGCCCCACCTGCTTTAATATTAAGCTTCCATAACCTTGATTTATGGGAATAGCTTTTTATCTGCTGTAAGAATAAGAAAATACAAATAAGAACACATGATACAGGGCCCGGAAAATAGTAGGTGCTCAATAAATGTAAGCTGGATTTGGTTAAACTGAAAGCCCCGCTGATGGTGAGGCGCTCAGAGACTCACGCCCAGCCCTGCAGGGGCACCTCAGGCTCAGGGTCTCTTGTGCAGCATCGTTCTCATGCCCCGGGACTGCTGGCCTGGCTGCTGGCAGCGGAACCTGGACTTTCCTAAGCACCACCGCCAGCTAAGGGCTTTCCTCTCTCCAGGAGCAGCATGAAGCCCTGGCGCTGCCCCACTCACTTGGCCTGAGGATGGGCAGGGAGCAGTGCTGGTCCAGCCAGGACAGTGCTGTCCGGTGCAGCTCCTCCAGGCTGCTGGTGGACACCATCCCCTTGAATGACTCAAATAGTGGCTTGATGATGATGCTGAACTGCAGGCGCTGAGGTTAAAGAAAAGGCAAGCATGGAGGAGGCCAGGACCACCTCGGAGGGTGGGAAGCAAAGCCCAGCCACGAGCCCAGTTTGCTGATTGATTTCCCCTGGACCAGAGTATCTACCCAGAGAACTGATAACAGGGGGAGGGCAAGAGGGAAGAGAGGGAGACTAAACGTTTCAATCTGACTGCAACTGACCACTGAGCAGGCAGGAGGCAGGGACACAAAAGCTTCTTCAGTCTGGAACAGGTCCAGGTCCCAATACAGTGACGGGAACACAATGGGTTTTATGTATATTGGCAAGAATGTCGGAGGCACAGGGCAGATGGGAAGGTGGAGGCTGTCTGTCTGGAGATGATGCCTGTCTTGTGTGTTAAACAAATGTGCCAGCTCTTTGTCACAGCCTCTTCAGTCTCCCAAGCCACCTCAGGAAGCATGCTTGGTGAGGGCATCAAGTGCAGTTTCTCTTGATTTTGATCCAGGATCATGCCCCAGCCCCCACCTCAGCTTGATGAAGAGGAATGTGCAAAAGAGGTTCTGACTCATTCTAGATGCTACCAGTGAAATGCAGGGAAGAGTCTGAGGGAACTGGTTTCAAATCCAAACCCTGCCTCTTAGTAGTTCTGTGAACCCTGGTTTCCGTCTGCCATGGTGGGGCGGGGCCGGGCTGGGCTCACCCTCCCTGTCTCCCAAGGCCCGAGTCCCCTTGTCCCTGCTGCTGCTCTTCCAAGGGGCTCCAGCACTGCCTTTCTTTACCAAGGACTAGAGAGCAAAGCCTGTCCTGGTGGCCCCCCAGGCTGTCCTGCAAAGCCAACTCCGGATGGGGTGGCCAACGACAGCCCCACCCACACCGCGGGCTGGGTCAGACCCTCCTCCTCCTCTGAGACAGAAGTTAGAACTAGAGAGCAAAGCCCATCCTGGTGGCCCCCCAGGCTGTCCTGCAAAGCCCCCTGAAGCCAACTCCGGATGGGGTGGCCAATGACAGCCCCACCCACACCGCGGGCTGGGTCAGACCCTCCTCCTCCTCTGAGACAGAAGTTAGTATGGCCTGTCATGAAGAACTCAATGACAAGCATTTAAAGAGAGTCTTTCTAAAGGCATAGAGTGTCACCATCTGTCATTCCAGTGCAGTGGTCAGGGGTGGGAAGAGCAAAGAACATGTAAAGATACAATCCAGAACTTCCAATTCTGCAGGGTCCTGTTTTTCACGTATTCGTCAAACATGTCTCTCATGTGATCAAACTGGCGCCGGGTGACAGGGACTCCTGTGGCAGGGAGCAGCTGCTGGCAGGAGCTACAACAACAGGGAGCAGAGCAGCAAATGAGGACCCTGCGTGCCCCCCAGGCAGGGCCACAGCCAGGCACAAAAGGAAGGTCTGAGGCGGGACGAGGGTGACAAAAAGTGAAACTGCTGCAACGAAGGGGCATCTATAGGCGGCATGGCCAGAGGCCCGACGCCTGTGACTGCGCTGCCTGTGACTGCAGCTGCCCAAGGAGGAGGAGGAGCGCCCGCCCATCCGCTGGAGCCTCACAGGATGGTGGCGTTGAGCTCCTCAATCTCCTCACGCAGCCGCCGGGCCTCCTCCTGCATCTGGCCCCGCTCCTGCTGCAGCTTGGTGATGTACTCCACCGTCTTCTGCAGCGTGATGGCGTGGCTGGTCTGCGGAAGGGGCGGTTGCTCAGGGGTGATGCGGAAGGGCGTCCCGTCAGCTCCCTTGGCCGCCCAGTGCGCCAGCAACTCACCAGCTTGGAATTATTGCAGATCAAACTGTTCAGGGTGTCAAAGCCCATTTTGATGTTGAAGCGCCTTTTCTGTTCAGCTGAAATGTGCTTCATCTGTCGGTTCTGTTGGGGAACCGACCAGCCACTGAGACACAAGGCATGCTGTAGGGCCATATCACCTCGTCCCTCCTCAACTCCCAATCTGATGCTGATTGGCTGGGAACAGATTAGGAGCCTGGCCAGGGCTAGGGAGCTATGTGGGAGGAGGGGACAACAAAGAGCTAAAAGGACCCAATGACGAGCCAGGAGGGGGACAGGGAAGGGAATACTAGAAAACATCACCAGAGAATGGGGCATAGCAGAGGCTGGGAACAGCTATTTGACCTGGCACTTCCTAGCTAGCCTCAAGCCTCTCTGCCAGTGACCCAGGACTTCGAGCTGCTGCTTCCCTCCCACCACTGCTGGGCAGCCAGCACCACTTGCCCACCACTCTACGAGGACTCCGTGTCAGCTCCTGCATCCTGAGCCCACGTGGAGACCTGCAACAGGCCCACTGTCACCATGGGGCTGGTTAGTGGGAAGGGACTATGGAGGAGCCAGTTTAATGTCAAGATTAAAGCAGCAAATGCCAAGGCTTCTGATGCTACCCCAGACTGTGTGATACCAGCCCAGGTAGTTCTCCTTTCCAATGGATGCTGCTGTCCCCAGGGCTCCTGATGCTCTTCTCCCTCTCTCCTCCAGTCCTTCCAAGGGAATCAAGACCCGAGAGGCATGTGATACCTTTAATGCAGCCACAGTTTTGGGGTCTGCAGATTTCCCTGAGTTGTTCTGGGGAGACTGAGGACTGGGGCTTTGTTCTGACGCACACGGAGAGGCCTGCCCTGAGTTCGGGCAGTCTCGACCTGAGAAGAACAGAGACTTAGGGACAGAGCCTGAGAAAGGGAATCAGCAAGTAAGAAGCAAGCACAGCCATCCCACTCCACCCCACAGCAGTCATCACAAAGAGAGCCCAGCAAGTCTCAAGACTCACAAGCCCACCTTTAACCTCCCATAGCTGCCCCAGAGCATAAACTAGAGAACTCCTCACCAACATCCCAAAGGGGTGCCCTGCTGGGCCCAAGAAGCTCTGCCCAGTCCCAGGTCTTGGGGGAAGGGGTGGAGTTCAGAGGGGAGGCCCGACTGCTGAGCCAAGCTCCCTAAACAGCCACCTCAAGTCGTCAGGGGTTCCTGCAGGGTTTGTAGGCACTAGCTCTTACCTTGTGTGTTCAGCACACAGGCATCTGTTTTATTTTTGTTCTTTAAACTGCACACAGATGTCTTCATTTACTTTTATCTTACCTACTCCCCGCCAAAAAACAAAACCACCTTCTAAGCTACCAAGAACCTGATGGAACAGCCCTGTGACCTCCAGGGTCCCATGTTCCAGCACGGGTGTCTCTTTAGGAAATCCTTTCTGGGCAGACCCTTTCAAACCTCCTCAGGCCTGGCCTCCTTAACTATAACAAATGCCCCAAGTTCACTTACTCTCCACTGGATTATTCTTCCCCAAGCTACTCTGTCAAACTTCACAGCATAGCTCTAAGTGGCATGTTCTGAGAGCCCATGGACAAGGCAATGTTGACCCTGACCTTTCCCTAGATTATTCTAGGGACCTGACACATAACTCTTCTGAGTCCTTCCAGACTGAAGGGGCCTTATTCTTGGAAACCTGCCCTTGGACAAGTTCCTTTACTGTCTGGTTCTTCTAAGTTAGAGACCCTTCCTCATCCACGTCTTCCTGAGGCAGGAGGTGGGTAACTGTCTGCACTGAGTTCCAGGAGCAGCCATGCCATGGTTTTATTTCAGAAGAGGACGTTTCCATTTCCCCTCCTGGCGTGGCATCTGAAAGGAAGGAGACTGGGTTCTCCCTCCACCTCTGCTACCAGTGGCACAGTCTTAGGCAAATCATTTATCCCTGGCCTGTGGGCTCGCCACATATCACTGGGCAAAACAGTCCAGTGTAAGGCTCAGGATGTGGAGATGGATTCACAAGTTGCACCGTTTGAAGCTGTAAGGGATGACCACGCTGATGCTGAGACAACCCCCAGTTAATGGTTTCTGGAACCACTGACAAGGATTCTTCATCCCTTTTCTTGATGGGAACTGGCAGCTCTGAGCCAGGCCTTTCTGAGCAGCTAGATGGGTTCCCTGTGCCCCAGGGGTGGCCTCCCCAATCTCGTTTGAAGCTGTAAGGGATGACCACGCTGATGCTGAGACAACCCCCAGTTAATGGTTTCTGGAACCACTGACAAGGACTCTTCATCCCTTTTCTTGATGGAAACTGGCAGCTCCGAGCCAGGCCTTTCTGAGCAGCTAGATGGGTTCCCTGTGCCCCAGGGGTGGCCTCCCCAATCCAGGTGGGCCGCCCATTTCCCTCATGAAGTCCCGACCGTTCTGACCCAAGTGAACACTTACTGGACCCTGTGGCAGGGGCCTGGGGACTGCCCCCATGTAGTGGGACCTGCTCGCTCTTCACCAGGGAGTCTTGCATTGCACTTGGAGAGAAGAGCCGGGAGACCGGGGAGGGCTGGCTGCTCGTGCCATGGCCAAGGTCTGTCACCAGGATACCACTGTGGAACTCTGTGACTCCAGGAGCCTGCAGCAACATGGGAGAGAGGGGACATCTGACTACTGATGCACAGCAGAACAGGAGGCCAGTTATACTGAGTGCCACACAAGCACAGGCTGCACTGGGGCAACAAGGACACTGGGGGGTCTGTCCCAGGTCCTCCTCACCCTAATGGCAGCAGGTGCGATGACCACGTTGGACTGGGACACGGTGGAGGCCAACATCCCTTCTCTCTTCAAAGGGCCTGATGTCATAATCACTGCCTGTGGCTGGCCGGGAAAGGCAGCTGCGAGGACAGGGAGAAGGTGAGGGTGAAGCCCGGCTGTGGGCCTGGTCCTGCCCCGCCAAGGGTGTGGCCACTGCTGAGCAAGGTCCACCAGCTACAGAGAGTAGGGCTCCCTGGAAGCAGCACACTACCCCTCTCGGCCAGTGACAAGTCCTGTTCCTTACCAAAGGGTACAGAGAGACAAGACACCTAAAACTTTTTGTGTGGTTTCTCCATGAAGAGGACATATTAAAGACCCAAGAAAGAGATGACCAGGACTACATATTTTCAAACTATGAGACTAACTTTTGAAAAGGATATGAAACAGAAAATAGATCACATACATATTATTTCATGACACTTTTGTCTCATTTAAATGAAAGGGAGGGTGTGGGTGTGTGACCAGCTGAAAGTCTTTTGGGATAGGGAACCACCCTCCCTGGGGGCACCACACACTGGCCTGCCTCCACCTGACTCACCAGGGGCAATGCAGGCATTCTTCAACACCAAGGACACAGGTTCTGGTTTTGGAGCAGGCACTATTTTGGGGGGCTGCTTGGGCCTCCCCACAGTCAAGGATACAGGTTTGGGGTGCACAAAAGTTAAACGAGGTTGGGGAGGCCCAACAGCTGGTGGCTGAGTGACAGGAGACATGGCCAAGCCACAGGGGGACACAGATGGGGCGGGGTGATGGGCTGTGATCACAAGGCCCTGGCTCTGGCTGAAGGTGGTGGCAGAGGCGTCATGAGTAAGAGTGGCGGAGGCTGTGTGGGTGATGACAGAGGACGATTTGGTGACTCCAGCAAACTTCTGTGGCTGCAGGAAGGCAGGTGGGGCTGGGGGGTTCAAGGAAGTTGCAGGAGGAGGGACCAATGTAGGTGAGATGGGCGCCAGGGCAGGACTGGGAGAGAGCAGGGGCATGGGGAAGACGGGCAGGAAGGGCTGCGGGACACTCAGTGGTGGCTCAGAGGGACCGAAGTCTGTGGGTTGGATAAAGGGGTCCCCAGTCGGGGGTGCATGTTTGCAGTCCTGCCCATCCACAGGATCCAGGGAGGGAGCTGCAGGAGGTGCAATGAGGCTGTCAGGAAGGCTCACAGTGGGGAGAGCAGAGGCTGGCAGGATGCTCCCCTGAGAAAGGAAGAGAGAGAAGTGAGGAGACAATACTGGCATCAGACAATTCACTATCACTTTGTAGCATTGCATACCACGGTCCAGCTACGTATGCTGAGCACTGGGACACAGGGACAAAGTGATGCCTCCCGTGCCCATTATGAGGATCTGGGGAAATGGATTGTGTTTCCCTGGGTTTCTGCAGGGGTACTGTTTCCATTAGGAACTAAATGGTAACACAGAGCTCAGAGAAAGCCACCACCTCCACACAGTTGGACAGCAGCCTGGGAATATCTTGTTTCCAGAGTCCAGCAAGGGTCTCCCTGAAGCCTCTGCCCTCTCCCATTACAGAGCAGAGGCAGCCTGGATTGCAGCTGCTCAGGGTTTCCCCCAGGACAGTTTCGTGTATCAACTGCCTGATCAGGCCACCTCTTCCTAAAAGCTATGAGTAATCAATTGTTCAGATCTCGGTCTCTACAGGAGAAATTTTTCCCAGAGACAGATGGAAGACAATGGTGCCAGGTTACTAGTGTCTAGGTGGATATGGGCACCAGTCTGAGAGCCCCATCAGAGTTCAGCTTTGTGACCCTAGCACCTGGTAATGGTAACCAGCTTTTGTTGATTGCTAAGTAAAGAGTAAAAGAAATATACAGAACTAATTTTTTAGTGACCCATATTTTTCTTCTCTAACTAATCATGTCTTAACTGGTCAGAACAGAGCTGGCTGTCCATAGGTTACCTGGAGCTTTAGGCAGGAGCATACATTTACTGACACAGCCCCCACATCCTGGATATTTAAGGACATTTTCAAGGAGGGCTGGGATAAGTTCTTTATATATTACACTGGTGTTCAGCACTAGATACAGCAATGCCTAGCACTTTGCTTATGACTGCATGGCTATATCATTAGCCTGGCTCTGACTGCAAAGTTCTGATGACCAGCCCTGTGCCTGCCACCCCCTGCCATCCTCCCAGCTTCCTCTACCTGAGCAGGTGGGCTGTTGGGATCTGGTGTAGAGGCTGAGGCAGGTGGAGGCATCATGGAGCCAAAAATGGAGCGGCTGGAAGAGAAGAGGTCTGAAAAACAACACCAGGAGTCTTTTGAGCTCCACATGCCCATCGCTTCTAGAATTATGATCCAAACAAATCCAGGACTGAACTCAACCTTACCTAGAGGGATGACACAGCCAGAGGGCATCCCCTCTCAAGCCAGCTTTTACCATAGAAAGAGGCTCTCTGATTGGAACCACACATGGTGGCACCTAGTCTGGGCTCTGAAACGCTCCTGGCATGGCGTTTCCATTGTTCTTAAAAGGGCAGGAGCTCAAGGACATGATCTAACTGCAGCAACCTTTGCTGGGAGGTAGCTGTGTCATCAGCACCCTCTGCTGCTCAGAGGCAGAACTGCTTACAGTCACAGCCAGACCTGAGGCTCCTAGTAGGCAAGAAAGCCTTCTGAGAATGCCAATTTCCTTAGCAAGAGAACAATGTCCCAGAAAAACTTTTCAGACGCTGCAGTTACTACAAAAAAATGTTTAGGATTTGAAAAATTCTAAGACACACCCCCCCTTGCCTATTCTAATAGTTCTCTTTTTGAAAGGAAAGCAACATCTGCTCTCTGCTGGGTAAAGGGAGATCCAGGTGGCCCTGCTACCTCCACCTCCAGTCCTCACCCTGAAAAGGTTCAAAAGTATCCATGAAGTCCAGGTTGGGCTGCAAAGGAATTAGCCCTGGCTGGATCATGTCTGCATTTCCCAGATGTGCTGCAAGAATCAGAAAAGAGAGAGAGAGAAAGGAATCGTTTTGCCTTCTCAATGTTGCATAAACATATATAAAAGGCCTGGAACAGCTCTTCCTGGCCCTGCTCACATTCTAGATTCTTCCAAGGAGAACTATACGCAGCTAGATGAGATGTCTGCTTTCTTGTAGGTTCATGGCCATTCTCCACCCTCAGAAGGCAGGAAAGAGTGAGTTTTCACAAGAAAGGTAAATTGATTATCAGGGAATGGACATCCCCAGGAAGCTGTGAACAGCTCAGCAGAGATTCTGACCCTCCCCCTGCCAACTCAAGGGTTCTAATTTTTAATCTGTGGGCTCTTCCCTGAGGGGTTAGTTAACTGGAAGACTGAATGTTGCCAGGTGAGAGGTCATGCCCAGGAGTCCTTCTGATTTTCTTTAGGGTGAATTACATGGCCCTGTCACCTAGGCCTGGGCACTACACATGGTCCTGCTAAGGGAACAGTATCAGAAACGTGAAATTGCTTCAGGCCAGACCCCTGCTACTGTTTTCTCAGAGTGGTGCCATGGAACGATGGCTGCCCCTGGAAGGCCCAACTTGCAGTCCCCACCCAACTCAGAGCATGTGGCCCTCAGATGTCAAATGTCATTGGCTAATTCTTCTCCTCCTTACTGCCCACCCTAAACAAGTGACATGCAGCAGCTCAGAGATGGCCCTGAAGCAAACCCTGGCCCAGAAAGGGCCTGGCAGAGAAGGAAGCCAGCTGGGCATTCAAAGTCCAAAGCCCAAGGTTTGGGTTACCGATTTCCCGTGGGTTGGGCCAGGCCACTGGCTGGTGTGAAGAAAGTGTGGAGAAGAGGGTGTCGCTGAATTCTGACATGAGCATGTCTGTGTCCAGCAGTGGGTCCTCCTCCATGGGGACTGGGGTCTTCCATCCATCCCCACGTTTGTGCCAATAAAGCATGTCATCATCCTACCACCAACAGAGGGGGAAGGAAGAATCAAAGGGCAACTGGAACTCAGAATTTCCTAGCCCCGTCGTGCTGGGGAAATACCGTACAAGCCTGCTCTATGGAGATGAAGGGAGAGACATACACTCAGAGAGCTGGACTGTTGCCTTAGCTTTCCTAGGACCTCTACGGGAGGGGGGAGCTGGCCCCTACCCAGCCTCAGGGAGGCCCATGTCCCACCATGGCACTGCTGCTCCTCCTCAACACAGAGCTCCTGTGGGGCGCATGGCTCCTGAGCTCACTCACCTGGGCCAGGCTGGAAAGGTCCTCATCCTTGTGCTGCTGTAGCTGTGAGCAAAGGGAGTGGGATGAAGTGGTCACCAAGAGCCCTGGTGTACTCTCTGCAAGCATCTAGGCCTCTTCTCTCTGGGAGGCAGGTAGGGAGAGGGATCCTGCTTCCTGCCATCCCAAGGTTGATGCCAGCACAAACCAGATTCCTACCCAGTGTTTGTGGAATAAACAGCTCCGTTCACAGTGGGGAAACTGACAGCAAAGACGGTAGGACCAAGCAGGCCATGGCTTGTGCTGGGCTAGACCACCTGATGTTCCACACCCACACGGGGCAGCCGAGGGAGGAGCCCACAGGCTCGGGCCAGTGTCGCCAAGGGGCTCTGTTCCTTCCCTCCCCTAAGGGGGCTTCCTGAGCACATGCTGGAAGGAGCCCCGGGCAGATACCCTTTTCTTGAAGTAGGTCCTCCACTTGTGATACTCCCTGATCACAATCTCAATGCGGCTTTTCCAGTACTTCCCTTCTGTGGTGATGGCCTGGAACAGAGACACAGTCCAGAATGAAAAGAGGTGTCTTGGTTGATTAGCAAAACTCAACCCATGTACGAAGAAGTACCCAACATTAGAAGCACAGGCCTCAGGCAATCCAGCTCAGAAAACTGTCACGTGGCTACAACTTTACTCATAAAGTCCCATCTCTTCTGTGCTACAACTGGCCCTCTAGCTAAAAGTGCATTTTCACATCGAGACCTAAGCTATCCAAAGGGAGCTTTGGGACATGGGTCCTGAGCTCTGCACTGGAGCACAAAGGCAGAGCAGAATGCTTGGGCGAGGAAGAAAGAGAGAGCCATCCCCTCCTGAACCCTCCAGAAGCTCATGGGCAGTTCACAAATGCCCTTTCCCAGTAGCTAGTAAAAACAAACAGCCAATCACAGAAAGTTTCAGGTGGAAAGTGACCTCCAGGAGCATCTCATTCAACCTCCTACTGTGCCAGGCAGAAACACCTTCCATGATGGCCTCGGAGAGCTCTAGGGACAAGGAACCCACTCCTGCCACAGACAGGCCCCTTCACTTTCAGCTCTTAAGTCCCATATCATTCCACCACAAACGCTTCAGAGTGTCTTGCACAGTGAAGACTTTTTTTTTAAAGGATTACAATATTATTATCATACCTAACAAAATGATACTCCTTGATACTGTCTAATACCAGACCATGTCCGGCTGTTCCAAAACAGTCGTTAGGTTACTTCCTAATTTCTCCCCCTTTTGTTGTAACAGTAAGATATGCATGGGCAAAATTAAAACAACGCAGAAGAGTCTAAAGTGAAAAAGTCTCCCCTCCTTGCCTGGTACCCATTCCAACCCCCTCCCCAGAGAGGACCGTTTCTGTATGTCTTTTCAGACATTTCCTATGCATGTATAATTGCATGGATACACGCTTTTAAAATTAACATAGAGATACTAAAAATACTGCTGTGCAACTGGCTTTTTTTCATTTACTCTTTCTTCAGCCTCTTTCCATCTCAGTATATGAAGATCTTGAGGACCCTTTTTAATTGTTAAAGATGTCTCTGACTTATGAGGAGCCAGAATTCCCCCCTGGTGACTCCCAGAAGAAACATCAATTTTAAATGAAAGTAGAGGATAAGTCTCAATTGGAGAATTCCTTAGTCCTTGGGTCAACCTGTTTGAGAAGGGGAGAACCTCCAAAGCCTGGGGGTGCTAGAGGCCACCTGCCCCTCCACGTCCTCTTCCTTCTCAAGGTCACACTAACTGACAGGACAGTGCAGGCCCAGCATTCTTCCCTGCAGTCTCCCCTGCAGAATTCAGCCCTTGGGGAGCCGTTCCTCTTGAAATGAGGGCACTTTTCCTTTCTTAGCTGCCCTCGATCACTGGCCAAGTACCTCTGGTCGGCGATGCTCATCCACTTCAACAGAGCCATCTAGTGGAGTGACAAAGTGGCACACAGGATTCTTGCGCTTCTCCAAATCTGTGCAGAGAGAGGGCAAGACATCATCACTGTAACCAAGACCCCTGAAGGAGCCCTGCCCCGTCTTTCCACACCCCATGCTCAGGGTGGAACTTCCCCAGGTATTCTTTCCTTCTTCTCCTGGAAAACTGGAGATTTCGGGGAAATGAATGAGTTCAGGATGAAGAAAAAGAAGCTGTCAATAATGCATGAGCAAGGGCCGGCCTGTGGCTCACTCAGCAGAGTGTGGTGCTGATAACACCAAGGCCACAGGTTCGGATCCCTATGTAGGTTCGGATTCCTATATAGGGACGGCCGGTTGGCTCTCTTCGGAGAGCGTGGTGCTGACAACACCAAGTCAAGGATTAAGATCCCCTTACCGGTCATCTTTGAAGACGGCCGGTTGGCTCTCTTGGGAGAGCGTGGTGCTGACAACACCAAGTCAAGGATTAAGATCCCCTTACCGGTCATCTTTGAAAAAAAAAAAAAAATAATAATGCATGAGCAAGGGCCGGCCTGTGGCTCACTCAGCAGAGTGTGGTGCTGATAACACCACGGCCACAGGTTCGGATCCCTATGTAGAGACGGCCGGTTGGCTCTCTTCGGAGAGCGTGGTGCTGACAACACCAAGTCAAGGATTAAGATCCCCTTACCGGTCATCTTTGAAAAAAAAAAAAAATAATAATTCATGAGCAAGAAAGGAGTCTGGCTTCTCCAGAGAAAGGCCAGCCTAACGCAGCATGCTCTGGCCTGCTTTTCTCCTGAAGAAGTCACCCTGTGCACTGGCACCCAAACTCCTGGAGACAGGAGGATAAGGCCTGTGCCTGCATCTTCTCAGACCTGCTGAAAATGGGACTGTTCCCTAATTCTTAAATGTCACCTCTCTGCTACACCCTTCCCAAATACCCTGAAAAGACCTAATCTCTCCTCCTCTGCCTTTCCAACACTAGGCCCAAGAATTTAGATGATACTGAGCACATGATATCGTAAGCAACTATCTCTTCTAGACTATGGGCAGCTTTGTGATGGAGACCATTTTGGGGCCTACTGTGCCTAATGGTTGGTAAGTGTCTAGTTTCTTAGGACTTGGCTTGGTTTTCCTATCTCCGCAGACTGCTCCAGAAACTTCTGTTTGAAACACGATGGTCCAAGAGCAGGCTCTGTGCCCCCAAGTGCTTGGGCCTCCAGGTGGCAAACTCTGACCCCCACTAGGCCTGGGGCCCTGCAGTCCCCTCCTGTCCCAGGCTCCCACTTACACTGCATGTACCACGCCCGCCAGATGGCGTTATTGAGCCGGATCTTATCTCTCCACTGGAGCTTCAGGCCCTTGAAATTCTTCCACTTTGGAGATACCAACTTCCCACTGAAAGGCAAGGCAAAGCAAGGAGACTCAGCGGTTCCTCTGAAAATGAAGTGAAATTTAAAAGTGCTGCCCAATCATCCCAGGCCCCAAAACTCTTGACTGATCCATTACCATCCACAGGCTAGGCTTGACAAAAAACATACGAGTCACTTTGGGACTTCTTCAGAACAAGATGCAGTAGGGAGGGGGTGGGGGCAGGGAGTGTTGATGGAGGAAAGAGAGCTGGCCAAAGATTATAACTACTGGAGCATGTGATAGTACAACGGGTTCACTATACTCTTCAATTTTTGCATACATTTACATTTTTCCATAATTAATAATTAAAAAGAAATCCTTTGCCCACTGAATGAAAACCAAGCTTCTTTCACCTGGTTACGGCCCACCTCTTTGCCATGAGTCCCCACGAGACACTTACAATCCAGGCACACAAACCTCCCACTAGTCCCAGCCCCTGTGGGGCTCCTCCTGCCTCCGAGCCTCTGACATGTGGTCCTCACTCCTGTGGGAATTCCCCCACCCTAGCCACCTACTCATCCTTCAAGATGCTGCTCCAACCCCATCTCCTAAGCTGGCACTGGCCTCTCCAAGGCTGCTGCCAATCCTCGGGGTCCCCTCAGCTCTACCCAACCACTGGGACAGCACACACAAACACATACACCTCCTCCATGAGACTGTAGCTTCTCTAGGGTGGGCCCTTTAGAAACCTGGGCACATAAGAAGGGCTCATTTAATAATTCGTCACGGAATAAGTTGAGAGCACTTGCAAACCAAGCTAACAGCAAGCAAGGAAAGCTCCCTAGTGGCACAGCCTTCTCAGACAGCTCAGTGTCCAAGTGCTATGCCAGGAGCCACTCTGGGCAGCTGGCATGTCGCTTCCCTTTTTCAGATGGCTTAAGATGGGCAAGGCGCTATTTTTGGTCCTTATCAAATGGGGCTTTGGAGGCTCTATCTGATTGCAGGCCACAGTCCTGCCCCTTCTCCATACCCACTCAGAAAGGTTATGTGACAAGCAAAGATGTGCCAAAAGTCACAACAGCTGGAGTCTTTTAAAGGAAGGACCCATGCACAAAACATAATGTGAGCCTGAAAACTTGGTCTGTAAAACAAAAGCCCTGGCTTCATAGCCAGGTTTCTGACAAAACCTCATGCCTCTCTCCACCCAACCAAGCAAGGAGCCCAGGCTTTGGACATTCACAGAGAAAATGTCTCAACACATCCTCTTAGCATATGAGGGACACACAGACAGCAGCAGCCTCCACCCAAAGGGACAAGGGTCCTAGAACAGTCACACACCACCTTCCTTCCTTCTCTGACCAATCCAGAAGCATTGGTGAAAGAAGTGGTCTAACCCACCTCCATGCAGACTGATCAGCTTTCACCTACATTCAACAGCCAGCAGCTGCCAGCAGCTGCGGGGTTTCGGAGCCTCTGTTGCATAATCACATACCAGCTGTGCAACTTTGGCAGGCACTTAGCTTTTCTGGCACAGCAGTTTCTTGGTTAAAATCAGAGTAATACCACCTCCTCCAGAGTGTTTTAGTAAGGAGTGAGTGTGTGTATTTGTATAGACATATAGACACACACACACACACTTAAGACACACACATACATAACTGGTAAATCCTAAAACAAACATAAAAAATATTAATAACTATCTTGATACCTAAATTTATTACCAAAAGGCCTGATTTTTAATACCTGACTTGAAAAGCCCTTTCTTTTATGTTTGCCACATTGCCACCTAGCTCCTCCTCCTCCACAGGAGGAAGAAGGTGATACCAGGTGCCCACTCTGCTTGCCACTTGGAATCCCACATAGCTGCAGGCCCACATGATTCTTCAGTGCTTCGCATCTACTCATCCGACAAGCACTGAGCACCTACTGTGCATTGTGAAGAGCTAAGAGCTGAGAACAGGACGGATGAGGCCCTGCGCTCATGGGGCACACAAGCTGCCTGTGTGCCGAGTGGCATGAAGAAGGGCAGAGGGCTGCAGGAGCACACAGGTGGCACTGCCAACCCAGTTGGAGCAGTCAGGAGGGACTTTCTGGAGGAAGTGACATTGAACCTAAGGCCTAGAGGATAAGGAAAGTTCAGCCAAACCAAGGAGAAGAGGGAAGGCCCATGCTGTTCCTTCTGCATGGCCTGTGGTGGCCTCAGGTAGCAAGGATACGGCCTGGTTAAGGCAGTGAGAAGCCCCCAGTGTGGGCAGGGCCTGGAGAGGTGGGGATGGCTCTAGACAGAGCTGGAGGGCAGAGGATATGCCAGAGGATATTGGCTCCCACCTCTGGACAAAGTCAACCTCCTTCCCCTTCTCTCCAAGATCGTCTAGCAACCAACCAGCAAACAAAACAAAACCGTCCCTATCTTTTTATTTTTTTAAGGAAAAACAAAACAACCAAAAACGCTTTACATATAACTGACACACCTTCCTCATACTGAAGCCAAGAATTCACTCTCTGTGGCCTTTCTTCAGTTAGGATTCCTGAGTGAGCATTTTTCATGTGCAAAGATGGCTACAGAGGACCGAAGCAGAACAAGGGGTGTGCTGGGAAGTGAGGACTGCTAGGGAGAGGACAACATTTGGGGTCTTGCAATGTCCTATTAAGAACTAACCACTGGGCTGGCCCATGGCTCACGTGGGAGAGTGCGGTGCTGATAACACCAAGGCCACAGGTTCAGATCCCATATAGGGATGGCCA